CTTTTGTTCATGTTTCATGCTACCCTGATCATTCTGAGCCGAGAATATATTTTTCGGTTTTTTGAAGTCCGTACCTACATTCGGAAATTTGTGGATCCGAGTGGGTTGAGAGGTCGAAACTTGATTTTTATGATGGTTTGGGACAGGCAGAACCCATTTTTAAACTAAAACATGTCCCACCTACCCCGGAACATAAAAGCACTACAGGGGTAAAGATTTTAAAGTCTGGATTTAGCTGGATTTCGGTCATTTTGGGATGGGCGTGGCCCCTGGGAGTGGCCCGAGTGGGTTGAGAGGTCGAAACTTGATTTTTATGATGGTTTGGGACAGGCAGAACCCATTTTTAAACTAAAACATGTCCCACCTACCCCGGAACATAAAAGCACTACAGGGGTAAAGATTTTAAAGTCTGGATTTTAGCTGGATTTCGGTCATTTTGGGATGGGCGTGGCCCCTGGGAGTGGCCCGAGTGGGTTGAGAGGTCGAAACTTGATTTTTATGATGGTTTGGGACAGGCAGAACCCATTTTTAAACTAAAACATGTCCCACCTACCCCGGAACATAAAAGCACTACAGGGGTAAAGATTTTAAAGTCTGGATTTTAGCTGGATTTCGGTCATTTTGGGATGGGCGTGGCCCCTGGGAGTGGCCCGAGTGGGTTGAGAGGTCGAAACTTGATTTTTATGATGGTTTGGGACAGGCAGAACCCATTTTTAAACTAAAACATGTCCCACCTACCCCGGAACATAAAAGCACTACAGGGGTAAAGATTTTAAAGTCTGGATTTTAGCTGGATTTCGGTCATTTTGGGATGGGCGTGGCCCCTGGGAGTGGCCCGAGTGGGTTGAGAGGTCGAAACTTGATTTTTATGATGGTTTGGGACAGGCAGAACCCATTTTTAAACTAAAACATGTCCCACCTACCCCGGAACATAAAAGCACTACAGGGGTAAAGATTTTAAAGTCTGGATTTTAGCTGGATTTCGGTCATTTTGGGATGGGCGTGGCCCCTGGGAGTGGCCCGAGTGGGTTGAGAGGTCGAAACTTGATTTTTATGATGGTTTGGGACAGGCAGAACCCATTTTTAAACTAAAACATGTCCCACCTACCCCGGAACATAAAAGCACTACAGGGGTAAAGATTTTAAAGTCTGGATTTTAGCTGGATTTCGGTCATTTTGGGATGGGCGTGGCCCCTGGGAGTGGCCCGAGTGGGTTGAGAGGTCGAAACTTGATTTTTATGATGGTTTGGGACAGGCAGAACCCATTTTTAAACTAAAACATGTCCCACCTACCCCGGAACATAAAAGCACTACAGGGGTAAAGATTTTAAAGTCTGGATTTAGCTGGATTTCGGTCATTTTGGGATGGGCGTGGCCCCTGGGAGTGGCCCGAGTGGGTTGAGAGGTCGAAACTTGATTTTTATGATGGTTTGGGACAGGCAGAACCCATTTTTAAACTAAAACATGTCCCACCTACCCCGGAACATAAAAGCACTACAGGGGTAAAGATTTTAAAGTCTGGATTTAGCTGGATTTCGGTCATTTTGGGATGGGCGTGGCCCCTGGGAGTGGCCCGAGTGGGTTGAGAGGTCGAAACTTGATTTTTATGATGGTTTGGGACAGGCAGAACCCATTTTTAAACTAAAACATGTCCCACCTACCCCGGAACATAAAAGCACTACAGGGGTAAAGATTTTAAAGTCTGGATTTAGCTGGATTTCGGTCATTTTGGGATGGGCGTGGCCCCTGGGAGTGGCCCGAGTGGGTTGAGAGGTCGAAACTTGATTTTTATGATGGTTTGGGACAGGCAGAACCCATTTTTAAACTAAAACATGTCCCACCTACCCCGGAACATAAAAGCACTACAGGGGTAAAGATTTTAAAGTCTGGATTTTAGCTGGATTTCGGTCATTTTGGGATGGGCGTGGCCCCTGGGAGTGGCCCGAGTGGGTTGAGAGGTCGAAACTTGATTTTTATGATGGTTTGGGACAGGCAGAACCCATTTTTAAACTAAAACATGTCCCACCTACCCCGGAACATAAAAGCACTACAGGGGTAAAGATTTTAAAGTCTGGATTTAGCTGGATTTCGGTCATTTTGGGATGGGCGTGGCCCCTGGGAGTGGCCCGAGTGGGTTGAGAGGTCGAAACTTGATTTTTATGATGGTTTGGGACAGGCAGAACCCATTTTTAAACTAAAACATGTCCCACCTACCCCGGAACATAAAAGCACTACAGGGGTAAAGATTTTAAAGTCTGGATTTTAGCTGGATTTCGGTCATTTTGGGATGGGCGTGGCCCCTGGGAGTGGCCCGAGTGGGTTGAGAGGTCGAAACTTGATTTTTATGATGGTTTGGGACAGGCAGAACCCATTTTTAAACTAAAACATGTCCCACCTACCCCGGAACATAAAAGCACTACAGGGGTAAAGATTTTAAAGTCTGGATTTAGCTGGATTTCGGTCATTTTGGGATGGGCGTGGCCCCTGGGAGTGGCCCGAGTGGGTTGAGAGGTCGAAACTTGATTTTTATGATGGTTTGGGACAGGCAGAACCCATTTTTAAACTAAAACATGTCCCACCTACCCCGGAACATAAAAGCACTACAGGGGTAAAGATTTTAAAGTCTGGATTTAGCTGGATTTCGGTCATTTTGGGATGGGCGTGGCCCCTGGGAGTGGCCCGAGTGGGTTGAGAGGTCGAAACTTGATTTTTATGATGGTTTGGGACAGGCAGAACCCATTTTTAAACTAAAACATGTCCCACCTACCCCGGAACATAAAAGCACTACAGGGGTAAAGATTTTAAAGTCTGGATTTAGCTGGATTTCGGTCATTTTGGGATGGGCGTGGCCCCTGGGAGTGGCCCGAGTGGGTTGAGAGGTCGAAACTTGATTTTTATGATGGTTTGGGACAGGCAGAACCCATTTTTAAACTAAAACATGTCCCACCTACCCCGGAACATAAAAGCACTACAGGGGTAAAGATTTTAAAGTCTGGATTTTAGCTGGATTTCGGTCATTTTGGGATGGGCGTGGCCCCTGGGAGTGGCCCGAGTGGGTTGAGAGGTCGAAACTTGATTTTTATGATGGTTTGGGACAGGCAGAACCCATTTTTAAACTAAAACATGTCCCACCTACCCCGGAACATAAAAGCACTACAGGGGTGAAAAGCACTACAAATCCACTACAAAAATCAAGGAAACGTGCTCTCAACGCGCCCTTGAAGATAAACATTTTCGGTATCTATCTGCGAACGTTTTAAAAAATAGTTCCAATAATATGAGCCAAAAATACCAAAATACTCCCCTCCATATAAATTACAATAGGTTAAACGATGGAATGTGTGGCTACAGGCGTCAGGCACCATCACCATAATAAAGCAGAAGGTGCTTAGAAACATGCGCTCATCCATAAAGTAGCACAAGTGCCAATTGTTGCTTTGTATGAGAATATCCTGGTGCATTATATTCTGTGTCACGTGCTATCAGGGCTGCTCCCTATTGGTGTAGAGGATGTTTCCTTGCAAACATTTTGTCATTAATTGGGGACTATTGGAAGTGCGCTGTGGTGGATAATATCTTACAAATATCTGTGGATCTGACAGGTAAGCAATACACCACAGTTTTCACACCGACCACTGCATATAATTAGTGTGGTCGTCTGTGGATAACGATCAGAGGATTCTGAATATTCATGTACAAGTAATTAAGCGCTGCAAGAGGAGTATAATTCACATGGTAGGTATACACTAATCCAAGGGAAGTGAGTGTGTTTTTCAAGTGTTTAGTTTGACTATTAGTCTTTCGGCTAGACAGTTTTTAACAAAACTGTGTACTGTTAATTTCTATTAAACAAGTAGCAGTACAGTATGCTAATATAGGAAATAATTCTGTACACCAGTACATTTCAATTGTTGTGGTATATTATTTATACATGAACTGGTACAGCAAATTATCATTCATCACATATTGTAAAGCGTTACAAATAATTATTTCCTTGTTATGTATGAAACATCAGCCATAAGGAGAAGTGAAAGGTGGCTTGCTTTAAGCCTAGTGAACCAATCAAATTAACACAAGGGAAGTTCTTAAAAAACCAAAAGTAAAAGTAAAAGTGAAGTCGAATTTGCGAAACTCGACAAATTTCATGTTCGGCGTCACCATATATTTCACCAAAATACCAAGGAAGTTTATAATTGCTTGTAACTAAGTCAGAACTTATGTTACATTGATTTAACTATCTGGTGAAACTAAATCAATTATCGATGAAATCAAAATAAAGAACAGAGATTGTTCGGTAGCGTCTTGTAGCGCAGCAAGATAGTGACATTGGACACGAACCCAATCATACATATAACTGATATGACAGAGGTTATATAAACCTAAGATTGACACAGTAGATAGTCACATGATCAACAAAGAGCTATATGATTGGTCTGACATAGTGACGAGACAGATATACTAATACTTGCTTCACATACCGGGCAAGAAAACATTTCATTCAAAATCCCAACATCTTACTCACAAAATAACTGGTTTATTAATGTGTGATTTACAGGGTATGCTTTTAGCCATCATACAATTCAAAGTTTACAAAGCATTTTAGACTTGATCTGTGTAAAACTGAAGGTTATCAAACGCAAGCCAGAGACTAGCAAGCTGGAATTTAGCAAGACAGAAACTAGCAATCTATTACGTACAAATGAGGATGTAGCAAAGTTCGAGTAGCACGTGCAACATTAATTATAGACAGGCGGCACAAGGGTCAAAACCCGGTCAGAAAGATAACGAAAATGTTGCATGAAAACTTCAACAAGATATTTCTGCTTCAACAAACAGACAACTGCTGTTCACAATATGATTCAATGCTGCATTCAAGACTATATCTACAATATCTGCGGAGCTGGCGCAGGAGAGCAGGACACATAGCAACCACATAGCAACTAGCTGGTCCACAGTAGATCAAGTAGATCAACAGTAGACCAAGTTGGTCTGTTTCTTACAGGGTTGTGTGCAGTAGTACTTAGCAGGGTACTTTTCCGCGGAGGACCTCCGGTTTATGAGGGTATAGGAGTCCTCGCTGTTATACTTCATGATAAGGTACGCCACCCCACACACTATCTGAGCGAGATAAAGGTACTAATTAGTACACTGATCAGCAATACTTAGTACTAATTAGTACACTGATTAGCAATACTAAGTACTAATTAGTACACTGATTAGCAATACTTAGTACTAATTAGTACACTGATTAGCAATACTTAGTACTAATTAGTATACTGATTAGCAATACTTAGTACTAATTAGTACACTGATTAGCAATACTTAGTACTGATTAGTGCTCGTTAAATAAAAGAAAATTGAATAAGCTTTGCCTAATTGAGTTTTACTTTTATGCAGTGTTTTTAATTTCAGTAGGAGAATACAAAATTAGAACATTCTGCCAGGACTTTAGTCAGGATTGCTGATGGATGACACGTCACATGATACGTCACATGACACGTCACAGGATACGTCACAGTCACAGTTTTACCACAACTCTTGTTATTCAGGCAGTTACTAAAGCCAGATGTACAAACTTCTCAGCTTCACAGACCACGCCCACTTCATCTGACCTTCTAGTGCTTTACCGGTAAATTAGCGTGCGTCACATTTGGTGTATTATATCATAATAACAACAGTGACTTTCCAATTAATAGTTCCAACACATGATAGTAAGGAACTGCAAGGTGACTGTAAGGTGACTGTAAGGTGACTGTAAGGTGACTGTAAGGTGACTGTAAGGTGACTGTAAGGAACTGCAAGGTTAGATTTATCTGGACACAGTATCATAAGGTCGAACTGCTGGACATAAGTTTTAGACATGTTTGTTGTTTTGTCGGAAAAACTTGTTAATATGTAGTTGAGGAGGTGACTGGTGGTGTAACATAGAGGCTGTTTGTCACAGGTTAACCCTTGTTGCATGTGTTCTGAACAAGTCTTTTAGCACTTTTAGCACTTTGCTGTACTTCAAAAGAGAGGCGCTATCTTTTCTAGCTGACTCGTAAAAATTCGGTAGAATTATAAATAATTACTATCAGAAAACTGTGCAATTTTCAGGCACACACGCTGAAAACCAATACGGTAAAAATTCCTAGCTGTTATTACTACTCGCCGCTATAGTATGTGCTAATCTGTTTCTCAATTTAGAGGCCAATTAACCTGATTAGTGCAATTTTTATAATTTTTTGCGGTGATTTTTGGGCGGCTCTCGCCTCTCAGCTGTCAAAATTTGAAGCTGGAATTTTGTCGCTCTAAATTCTAAAAGCTTATTAAAACTTTAAAAGGTAATCAAATATAAATATTGATTATTATATCATGTTGATACTTCATACGGTGTTTAAGTTTTTAAATTACACTGACGTAAAAGTAGAGTTCGGCTGCGTTTAACAAATCATGTCATTGCCTTTTAAGGGAATATACTGCAGCAGTGCCAGTAACACAACTAGATTGATTTATAGGGCGAGAAGATGTCAAATAACCGCGAAAAACATGTAATTAGGTCAAATTATCGCCGAATTGCAGTAATTCAAAGCAATACTCAATGTTAGATTATAACTGCACTATCAGTGTTATAAGGGTTATCAGATTGATGGAGTTTAGCTAACACAGTTAATAATATAGGGTGATGGGGGGGGGGGGGCAACCTCATAAATATTTAAATAACCATAAATACGAATACCTATTTTGAAATCGGAGAGGATAATAGGTATTCATGAGGTTGGCACCCCCCCATAAGATATTTATAAAATTACTACTATTATTATCGTTAGGTAAGTACGTCGTGTGAATTGCAAAAAATGCAGACAAAAATTAAGGACTCTATATTGGCAGCAGTTGTCATGCTTCATTGTAATAATATGAGTATAATAATAATAGTATTATATCTGGATACTGGTGAGGGATTAAACACATTTTATCTGGCACATTGATTACCCAATCAGCCTCCAGTATTGACGAATCAAACTCCAAAATCACAGTCACGTGTCTAAAAAATATGCTTACGCTTCCCTCCACTGGTATCCACAATCCACATTGTATATAATAATATGTACTTTGAAAACTACGGCTGATGTTTTAAATAGTCCCACTGTTAACTTTGTATAGTGGATTAGCTTTCTGACGCCCTTACTCTCACTCACGGGATTACAAAAATTTGATTGCAAATCTCACCGTCGTGAGTAGTACTGTTAAAACACAATCTGAGACTTATTCAGCATTACGTTAAATCACGTGATATTACGTTCAATCACGTGACATTTCAATACTTTCAACACTAAAATATATAGATTATTTGAATTAGCATGATATAAATGGGTCCCAATCCCCATCAACCATCTCCTCTATAATAACTTCTTTTATATATCCACCTTTACAATAACCACGACGTAGTTATTCATAACTAGCTTTATCACGTGTATAATCACGTGACATACTTTTAGAAAGCACAGTAATAATAATATTCTGACTTTATTCACGTGTACACTGTTATACGTCATGTGTATCGTGTGTATTTGTATAGTTTCTTAAGGAAACATAACATGTTTTGATTTCTAGACGAGTGCTAAATTCATACAGATTACAGTGAGTATTGGACTTCAGCCAATTCAGGTAAAATAAAATTTCCATAGTAATTAGTATGTACAACAATTTAGATGACGTATATCATCCTGAAACGTGCACAATTAAGTAACATTAAATAATGGAAATATCTAAATTTCTCAGACAGTGATGATTTGTAACTTATTGATAAATAAATTGGCTGTCCCGCAGGTAGTTCCTAGGTAAATATCCAAGTAATAATCCAACTATACTGTGACCAACTACTCGGAATCTCTTAAAATAGGCCTGGTACATTAAATTAACATCCTTAAATGTAATACACACAATGGTCGCTTGTTGAATAATGGCGCCTGTATAATAGTAGGCTGTAGTTGGACAGAATGTCTGGGAATTAATCTTTGCTATTATCTTAATAAAGGAAGTTACTTAGACAGATAAGACACTGTAGCAATGTGTTATCAATATTTCTGGTGTAAATCAGATTGAACTCCAAGGTCGTTTTAATTTAGCGATCATATAATCGTCTGCCTTTAAAAATTCGAAATGTTCAAATGTAAAATTTGTCAGAATCCTGTCAGAAATGTTACAATCTTTCATTTATGAGCTCAACCTTCTTCCTGCCACTGCAGTACGGTTAAGTGCTTATAATACGATGAACTGCGAATAGTTTTAAACGATTACTTAAAAGCTTTAAACTTTTAAAGTAACCGCATTCCCACAAATTTAGTAAGTACTGAACTTCAACTACAGTAGGTAAATACGGAAATGAGATGTGTCATTAGTGTACCAGGTAGGTTTATTGTTAACACTAGTAGTGCAGGTGTGTGCAGTCTTAAGTTATAGATGAATAGGTGCGAAGCATATTATGAAGGAGTACGTGAGTGGATCGAAGATATTCATTATTCAATGGAAGTGACTAAGTCCTTAGTAAAGGCCATGGCCGGAATTGAAACGGATATAGATCATGATTCCGAGTCGCTGAAAGAAATTCTAAAAGTGAGGACAGAAAAGCATGAATTAGAATACACGTTAATCTGCAATGAAAGCAGTGATAGATCTACACGTGCAATTAATCAGGCAAGAGAAAAAGGAAGCTCAAGTTGGTTGACTGTCCTACCTCTTAAGTCTTATGGGTTCACATTGAACAAAGGGGAATTCAGGGATAGTCTACTTCTTCGATATAACAAAGACCTTCCACGATTACCTCAATCCTGTGTTTGTGGGGCCAAAATGGACATCAACCATGCTCTAAACTGTCCAAGAGGAGGCTACATCATCATCCGCCACAACTCAGTTAGGGATTTCATAGCCAAACAACTATCAACTGTTTGCAAAGACGTAGAATGTGAGCCCCACCTACAGACTTTAGACGGGGAGACTTTCTCAACAAGTACCACACTAACAGGAGACAATGCCCACCCTGACGTCCGTGCAAGGGGATTCTATCGTCCAGGACAGAACTCCTATTTCGACATAAAGTTTCTCAATCCCAATTCTGAGTCTTATCTCTCATCATCAACAGAAAAAATATACGAGAGAGCTGAGACTCAGAAGCGGAGGTTATACAACGAGAGAATATTGAATGTCGAACATGGGAGTTTCTGTCCACTGGTGTACTCTGTCACGGGTGGCAGCGGGCCAGAAGCGAGAACATTTTTTAGATTACTGTGTGAGAAAATAAGTTATAAAACTCAACAAAACTATTCAGATGTTGTCAATTTTTTAAGATGTAAATTATCATTTATTATCAGGAAGCTGGTTCTCCTGTGTATAAGAGGAACCAGATCTTCTGTCAATTCAGTTGACAAAAGTTGTGAAAGCGACTTTGAGTTCGCATGCTTTGTATTAAAGCTTAGCTAATTATGAGTCCTATGGACTCAATTAATTGTTGATTCAAATCTGGTCGATATACATTGTTGTAAATTATATTGTTATATATTATTCTATTTGTTTTCCAAAAAAAATTATTCAATATAGTAATTAGTAAAGTATTGGAAATATTGAAATTAAAGTAGTTATAAAGTCTCATTAAATAATGTAATATATAAACACTAACCATCTTATGTTACTTTTATTTATTCAATATTCTCTGAACACCCAATCTGTTAGTGTATAAGAGTATTGGCTGTAACTGTAAGAGCTGTTACTGCATGACGCACACCCATTTATATACATATAACAATATTGTTAAACTTAAACCACTCTAATATTATGCAACAGGTGGGGCGCGCCGGGTAGGGCAAGCATTTCTGATCTAAGAAAGTGCAGCATGCCCCGGCCAGTGTGCCCCGGCCAGTGTGCAGCATACCCCGGCCAGTGTGCAGCATACCCCGGCCCACAGCCTGCAGGGGCTGTACAGGGGCTGTACAGGGGCTGCACAGGGGCTGCACAGCCTGCAGGCCCACAGACTGCACCTAACTTATACTCGGTCTACCTAAATTACCTAAACACTAAGTGCTACAGGACTAAATCAACATTCTAAATATTTGCTGATTTGCAGCAGATTGCATGCACATTACATTATATGTGGCCCTGATCCATCGGCCATCTTAGAAAAATATGTCCTAATTAAATCGACTTATTGACCTACAATATAAGTGATTTACAGCCTAAAGAAATTCATTATGTCTGCGACAAACTTTTGTGTGTAGATGAAATATCTGCTCCTGCTGTTTATTTAAATTTAACACCAAAGTTTAAACAATGCTCAGAGATAGGAAGAAAACAGTTTACAAAAGACGAGAATTGAACTTGCCAAAACAAAATGTACTGTGTGGTTGGAACTATGTACAACACGGGTGGTGGGCGGCGGCTTAAAATTCTCGAAATTTTTGATATTTTGTACGTGGTTAATTTATATTTCAAGATGTCGAAACTATAAGATTTCTGGATAGTGAATATTGAATCACGGATTTCTTCCCTCTCCCTTTCTTGTTTTTCTTGTTAGAATAGTCTCTGCAGAACGATCAAATCTCATTAATATAAAGTTTTGAATTATAGAACTATTGCGGTAGAGCCAGTAGAATGTAGATCAAATTACATTCTCCAAATCTCCATATGGATAATGGATATAACCTTAATATTAAGTTATACACAGCAAAGAATAACCATACTTTATTGAATGAAATAACGATTATGTGAATAGCAGAGCATTGACCATAGAATTCTACACGGTTAATATAAGTTACATACACAATAAAGGGTCCCATAATGGCTATTGAGCTTTACTTTTATTGTCCTCTGTACGACGCGACAAGATGAATATAGCTTATTCCCAGACATTACAGTCCACTTTTCTTTAGAAATGTTGTAACTTTCAGTACCAAATTAGTAAATTAATGGATTCAAATTATGTGCTCATTACAGGGTTACCCATGAATCAATATCAACTTTATTAAATACTTTTAAATTGTTGTACTCAATCCATGTTAAGTACAAGCTGCTAGATCCTAAAACGTTGCTAGTTGTAACCTTCTTGTATTTGTTTGAATTCAGATTATAAAATAATGTGTCTCACCTCTAAGAATAGAAGGACTCCTAATATTATGCCTATTAACCACAGGTTCTTTGTAACATCCTGAGGTATCTTTTCTTTGCAGCCCTGAAATATTACAAATTTAGTATTTTACGACAAATCTGTGCAGAGCTGTAGACTGTAGGGTAGCAAGCTGTTTAGGAAGGTTTAGAAAAATGTTCTAAAGTTGTAGATTATTATTGGTTTGTAAGAATCAGTTAGAATAAAGTCATGAACATTTTGAATTTATGAAAAGTTTTGTTCTGACTTACTGTATGTCAGAACAGTCTGTGAGAAACACAGAACAGTCTGTGAGAAACACAGAACAGTCTGTGAGAAACACAGAACAGTCTGTGAGAAACATACTCGTCTACTTATAGCTTTAGGCTGTCTAACTGTTAAAATAATACACTTTTGTTTAGCGTATATAATATATATATATATATATTATATTATAACACTTCTGTTTATCATGTAACATGATGTTTAATATAGTTACTGTTTAGTAACTGTTTAGTAACTGTATGGTAACTGTTTGGTAATTGTCTGATCTGCTTGGTTTAAATATTTTAAACTCCACAAGATGACTCATCACAGATTAGCTTGTGTTACAGCTGACCGCACCTGATAAAACATGAAATAACCCAGAAATGTGTGTAACGAAACACCACTTTTGAGACATCCAATACTGCACTGTTATTGTATAATACTTTTAAAGTTCTCTGCAACATATTTAGACAACCTCAACAATTCAACACATCTAACAAATTTAACATATTTAACACATGATTTAATACATTTAACCGTAGCACCGTCGCCATTAGTGCAAGTAAATTGTGTTAATAAAGATAGTTTTCTTATTTTTCTGGTCCCATTTTACTATAATCGAGAGGCAAAACCAAGGTACTATCATTAAGAGATTAAGGATGTGAATTATAAAATCCCAAGAATAAAGATACCCGACACCATCTACTCTAAAAATCGCAACCACCCAATTTATCATTATTTCTCTCTATATGTACTTTTCACTGTTATGTGAAAAGAAGAACTGGGCCTTAGTGAAAGTGAAATCGCAGATGAATCTTTCAACGTTCCAAAGTTCACTTTGAGTACTTTCTGACTTTTAGCATCTGTCTCTTGAGAACCACAAGACACAACAAATACTCGGAATTGACTATACGTAGTAAATGTGTGTCAAATTGTCAATGACCTGGTATATTAGAGATACGTTACAGGAATACAGTTTCATAATTTGAATATTAAGGGAGTCGCAGGACTCACAGGCACTACTACAATTTGGTTTTTCCTCTGTAATGTGAATATTGGATATTCGAGGCTATTTTATCATTTTCTGACAAATTTTCTGACGATTTTTACCGTCTGTAAGACAATAGACAGAAATGTGTGAAGGTATGGAAGAAAACATTTTTAAAAAGATCCTTATTTATTTTATGTGCGGCTACACCATAAATACAGCCACCATAAATCCAGCGCATAACTTACTCATTTTCAAAAAAACGTATGTTCAGTTGTTCAGTCTAACAAAATCACATTCATAAAATATCACGACTTTCTAAATCAAATTACCCCTATTCCCAGTAACCGTATGAAAACACTATGTAATATATATCATATTTTCTGTCACAGTTAGGAATCGAACTGTCGGAATATACGCCCTGACAACAGTTGTCATGGCACCTTACACGAATTATTGAGTACGTATAATACAATCAGAGGCTGGTTATTCCATATATGGGCATGTTCAAGTGATGGTTTACTTACTCGGATATGACAAGATTAATTCTCACTTCGTGAAACATTGGAAGGGTGAAGTGGGAGTTTTACTAAGTGCTTTAATTTATAGTCTAGACTCAGGTATTTAAACTTTGGGTAGCGTTACGGCTCAAATTGGGGTTAAGAAAAAGGTTTGAACGTTAGATTTAAATCTGATATTTCTGTTTGAGCTGTGATGGAAGGTCAAATTTCTGGGTCACGAAGTTCTGCAGCTGAATTACATGATCCTCGTTTACGATGGTAGTGTGGTTAGTGGTTAAGTACTAATGTGATGGAGTTATGAGTTACTTTACAACTTGATAAGGTAAACTTGGCTACTGAGGTGCTAAAAGTGTTTCTTGAACAATTTGATCTGTGCTACGGTATAAAAGACTTTCCATAATTTCTTTTCAAAAACTCAACGATCATGTACTTCCGACCTATTAGATTTAAATTTATTCTGTAAATTTCACTAGCATTAGATTAGTGATTTTTGGCAAGCCATAAACTTCACGAAGTTTTCCAAATCGAGCAAGATGATTATTACATAATCACCTAATTAAACGATAATTATAGCTTTTTCATGTGGGAACTGCAGCCAGGGATCTGTCAGTACCTGTTAACTGGTATACAGTAACTATTACACTGTCACACTGTCACGTTCAGTATAACAAAGGAATATTTCCCGCTAAAATCTATCCTACTCCTGTAACTCTCCTGTAATCTCCAAATGCAGTACTACTCTCACTACTCTCACCTACTAGTCTGCCGTTTTCTGACAAAAGTGCTTAAGTAACACAAGGTTCATTTTGTGTAAATTGAGCTTAAAGATTTCAATTCTGTAATTGCTCTGGGCTAGCTATTGTCCAATTTAAACTGCACCCACTATGTTTCTAAGGTACTTTGTCGACTTTTGAGACTTCTGACAAAGTTTCATCATCCTAACTTCTCGGAAAGTGCCTCAAAATCACAAATTATAGTTTGAATTTCTTAGAAAAGTGCTTAAGTACAGTCACATCGGCAAATACTACATGTTCTGATGAAAATGACCCGTTCAAACCATTGGTCATCGAAAGTAAAACGAAAAATTAGCCTAAAACTGTTGTGATGAAACATTGGTTGTAAATAGGGGACACGCTGGAATAGAAAAGTTGAAATTTCGTTTTCTGAGAAAAGTGCTTAAGTACAGTCACATCGGCAAATACTACATGTTCTGATAAAAATGACCCGTTCAAACCATTGGTCATCGAAAGTAAAACGAAAAATTAGCCTAAAACTGTTGTGATGAAACATTGGTTGTAAATAGGGGACACGCTGAAATAGAAAATTTCGTTTTCTGAGAAAAGTGCTTAAGTACAGCCACATTAGTGGGAACTTTATCTGCGATCATTCTGACCTAAAATTTTACGACAAATTGATTGGTGGTGGTTTAAAAACACGAAAACACTCCCTTCTCCCCAGCGGATTAAAAAATAGTCGAAATTCTACCAGCATTTCAACGAAGAGTTGATTGGTGAAAGTACGGGATAATAATAAATAAGTTGCTTTCTTTAGAAATTAAATTAAGAACTCAGATGAGGCTTTCTTCATAAAGACCAATGATTTGCGAATTATTGATATCGTAACGCGAGGCAAAGAAAAATGTAACATAATTGTAAGTAATGCTGTACATAAATAAATGGTAAATAATACAAGAAATAGATGATTTTTAGTCAAACACTCGATTAAGATATCTGTTATATAGCTGTACTATCAGGCAAGTTCATCCAGAATACCCTACTACTCGGGGCCATAAGCCTGCACAGTTTACGTATAATGTCTTGTTTTTTGGGAGTAGCTATCCCCCGGGGCTCTTCCTGGGCGAAAGCTATTTTGCATCCTATGGAAATGAGTCTCTCGTCTTTTTGTCTGAGAAATGAAATGAAATGAAAGGAAACCTCGTCATGATTTGTTTTCCATTCCATTTCTACAGACCCACGCTGGAAACTTACAACTTTAACATCTTTAGTTTTTTAGTTGCTTGTTCCGTAGGACCTTGGCCACGATTCAAAGTATGTGCAGTTCATGCTTATCGCAAAACCCACCTGTTCAACTGCCTGAACAAAGTCCTTATAATCATGAAGTTGACCTGATTGTTTAATGGACAACTCCACTTTATGGTGGAATGAGTCTGCACTCATAAAGGTGTGCACTGGCTTTAGATACTGGGGATACTTGACCGTTATCTTGTCCAGGTCAACATCTGGGCTGTTGATGAACATAGGGCAGTAAATAAAGTCCAACACTTGTTTTGAGCAGAACAATTGTCTGCCCAAAAAATGATCTCCCTGCTACCAATCTTGCCAACTAACTGGCAAAAATTTTTATTGCCCTTATCCAAGTCGAGGACACATTCTCATCTTTCCTGCGATTGACTCATTCCAAAGAATCGCTAAAGGAGCTCCGTCTGACCCCAGCCTCGCGAAGGTCTCGTTAAATGTGCGTCTTGTAAAAATCGCCTCCTTGTACTCCTTGTACTACATGTGTGGTAGTAAAAGAACTTTCTCCATATCAACAGAGAAGGAGCAGTGAAGCAAATCGCTTCTATCTCTTTGGTAATGTTCCCTTGCCTGTCGATAATCCCGCCAGTCTCAACTTATAAGAGAATACAAAATTTTAAAGCAAATTATGACGTATATTTTGAAACGTTCTGCATTGACAAATCGGCAATTTTGACGGCGAAGCTAGCGTTTCTGAAGTTTATGACCATCACCAATCGATCCGCCGTGAAAATTTAGATTTGTTAGTACCGATTATATAGTTTCAGTTGGCAGTATCAACATTAAATTAAAGGTATAATGGCACTTAAGCACTTTTGTTAGAAAACGAGCACGTTTTCACAAAAGTGCTTAAGTGACATAAATTAAGCACATTAATTTAGCACTTATATTAGAACAAGTAAAGAGACAGTTAGAGAACTGTAAACCTTTTCCTTATAATACTACTCTTTCTGATGAGAACGTGAAACATGAACTTGATATTTTGCATGATAAATATGTGTTAGTACCTACTGATAAAGCTGCTAATAATATTACTATTGTATGTAAGAAGTTTTACATTTCGAAGATTCATGAAGAACTGGCTTCAGATAATTTCGAGATGATTGACAGGTCAGTTGATGACATTGTCCAAGAACATGAAAAGTTTATGTTAAAATATGGAATTAAATTATTACCTGAAAATCGTAAATTACCGTATTTATATATTACCCCTAAACAGCATAAATCGCCAGTTGGTTTTAGATTTATTACTTCAGGTGCTGCATGTAGCTTACAGCAACTTTCTAAATATGTGGGAATTTGTCTTAAATCTTTATTGCATTCAGCTAAAAATAGGTCACTTTATGATAATAAATTTCACTCGAGAAATGATTTCTATGTTATAGACAATAACGAGCCTGTTATAGATTTTATTCACGCTAATAACTTGAGAATGGGTTCTAAATCTATTAATACTTACGATTTCTCTACTCTTTATACTTCCATTCCTCATACACAATTAAAAGCTAATCTTTTAAAGTTTATCAACCGTGTTTTTGGATTTAAAGAGAAGCCGTTTATCATTCCTAATATTTATACGAAAAGAGCTTATTTTAGCCAAGGACGTTGTTCTAATAAGACTAGTTTCAGCAAAGATGAGCTTATAGAATGTGTTAACTATTTGATCGATAATTCTTTTGTTATTTATCAAGGCAAGATATACAAGCAAGTTATTGGGATCCCGATGGGGACTAATGCAGGACCTCAGATTGCTAATACTTATTTACATGTGTTTGAATATGAATATATCAAGAAACTCATAGAAAATGGTGATGAGGTTGCACTTAAGAGTTTGGAAAATATATTTCGATATCAAGATGATCTTATTTCGTTTAATGATAGTGGTCTATTAGGGAATATTTTAGGAGATATCTATCCTACGGAGATGATTGTAAACTGTACTAATGTTTCACCGCGTAAGTGCAATTATCTAGATTTATGTATTAGCATTTACAGGGGCAAGTTTAGAGTAACACTTTATGATAAACGGAAAGACTATAGTTTTAATGTCATTTCTTATCCTTTTTTAGATGGGAATATCCCAAAGAATCTTTCTTACGGGGTATTTATTTCTCAGCTTGTTAGATTCGCTAACATTAATACCACAGTAGAGGGATTTTATAGTAACATTCGTGACTTAGTTAAGAAGCTTGTAAATCAAGGCTTTATTCCTGCTGCCTTGCGCAAAAAGTTTTTGAAGTTTTACAATTCTAAACTTAATATCTGGTGTAAATTTGGGGTAGATATTTACGATCGTGTTATCAAAATATTTGATTAGGAATGTGTAGACTGTTGATATGTTGGAGTAGTTCATATTTGTTTGTCCTTCATATATCGCTTTTATTAATTTGGACCTTGAATCTTGAGTGTAATGTGCCTTTTCTCTTCGGCTCACGCTTCCCGCGTGTGGTTGTACCTGGAACCTAGATTGAGTTCCTATTTTCACCTTATTTACATTATTTGAGTTATTTCGTGCGTGTCTAGGGATCTCTTTGTTGAGATGAGTTGTTGTATTAGTAATATTTAGTTGACCTAGTTTATATTCTTATTTTATTTTACCCTTTTCAGTTTTTAGATGATTTATGTTATTTGCATGCTCATGTTATAATAGAGTTTGAAGCATTGTTGCGTTTTGGGGCTTTGTAATACTATGACGGCATTGCTTTGAATTTGAATTTCTGATGATATTGATTTTCACTTTCAGTGCTATGTAACCTGGCAGTAACGTTGTAAAGGACTTTGAGGGGGTCTGTAGTCCCCCCGCATAGTATGTTTGTGTTTCACTGATTTGTAAACTGAAGACGTAAATAAATTGTTTTCTCCCAGGCCAAAAGACCCACGATCACCAAATTACCGTCACTAGGCCAGTTTTGGGCGTAAAAAACAATGTCACCGTTTTCAGTTCCCGAAATGGCACCGTTTTTGAGATAAACGGCACCCGTTTTCCAAAATGTTACTTAAGCACTTTTCTCAGAAAAATGACCATATTTTGCATTTTAGGGGGTTCCAAAAAGGGGGTTTCGGGGGGTCGGCGAATCTATCCAATGGTCCTCAGGGACAGTTCTCGACCCAAAAACAAAAGTTGGACCAAAAAACCCGAAATTTCCAAAATGTTACTTAAGCACTTTTGTCAGAAAACGGCAGTAGTCACGTTCTCATTGAAATACTGTAGAGTAGGAGAACTGGAGAAGTAGTGTAGATTAGCAGGTTCTCAGGTCTCATTATCACGTGATATATGTTGTGATTATCACGTGACATGTCGCATTGTGACAGGGGTCCTATTTTGCATTACATACTGTATGATGTATCACACTTTAGTCTCACGGGTGCAAAACAATAGATACTGTCCGTAGTCCGTACCTAGACAAGTATGTACATGATATTCACATTTAAACTTCTAAACGGAGAGTTGTTCCTTAGTACTTACTACTTTGATACGATAGAGTAAAATAACAAGTACAATCCTAAAATAACAAGTACACTGCACACCCAGAACAGTAGTATAGTTGAGTACCTCCTACTTATAAGTATTATTCCTGTACCCCCAGTAGTCAGTATATTCACTCTTCACAACAACTGTCTCTCAGAGAGAGAAGCCCAGTCCTTAGTACAGTAAGATACACAGTTCCCGCCCAAATCTGAACAATAGTCCAACATAATACCTTCTCGTCACGTGATGAGTACTCTTACTAATATGTGTGGCGCACTGCCAACACTAGGTCAGTGCACTACATCAGTCCTTCTGTTCAGCAGCCAACAGGACATGTCACAATAAGGTGACAACAGCAGAGTGACAAGGTACTCTCTCTATCTGTCACGTGACGTTCATACATTGTCACGTGACTACCTGTAGACAGTCTGTACTCTTCTGTACTCTTCTGTACATTTATGTACATTTTAGTGTATAGACCAAAGTTATTGCTAAATGTCTGATTAGAATGAGATGAATTCACTACTATACTGGTGTAGATCTGATTTAGACCAACATACTCTCTGATATTTCCTACTTTTTACAAACGTATTATTTCTGCCCAGGTTAAAAATCCTGGCAAGATCACACCGTATAATAGTGAACACGTGCAACAAGACCAGGAGTGTAACTGTCACTGCTGACATTCCGAACATTACAACCTACCCACGTGACATTACAACCTGCCCACGTGACATTACAACCTGCCCACGTGTCTGATCAGAGAGGCAGTACTCTTCCTATTTACAGATAATAGAGTAATAATAAAGAGAATCAGCTGGTATAATTGCTTTGTGGAGAAGATGGAAGAGAATGCTCGCTTGAACTGACAAATTATAGCCAGTGTGTGGTGATTCGAAACTGACTAATTGTTGAAGATCTGTAATAATTAATAACATCGGACTCGTTTCTGGAGCGCTCTTGAGGGTTTTCTACTCTTCGTTTTGGAGTATGGATTAATGGCGCTAACTATTTTAGTTGGGATTAATTAGTTTGATAAATTTATCGTGTTGTAAATTAACAGCCCTTGAGTTAATTACTTTGTACTTGGATACGGACCAATTCTATTGAGATGACGCACTTAGAAGATGGAATATAATTATATGACACGTGTTTTCTGCCTAAGTGTGCAGTAGATTCATGGACCACGCCTTAACAATCAGCCTTATTAGTAACCTTATTGGTAACCTTATTACTAACCTTATTAGTAACTACACGGTTCAATTAACACCAAATCAGGATATGGCACACTTTTTCACAGCAGCTCTTGTTGGCACACCACAACTGTGTTTAGCGCTACATATTAATTCTGGTGTTATAGCATTTTAACAACTCGTGGACAGGTGTCAGCAAATGTGAAACAAATGGAAGCCTTTCCCAGCAGCGCACTTGCTAAACGAAGCTACCTTGTGCAGGAAGTGAGGCTGTAAGTCGGCCCCTTTTTCCAATTTAACGCCGTGGTTTCACAAAATATCAAGGGTTACTACTAAAACAATCGAGGGTTAATATACCCAATATATAAGTACATAACATAACATTCCACAAGTAAATAATATGCAAGGTTATTTTTGGATGCCGACAGTTATAAGATTTAGCTTGTTAATAGTAATATGATTCGTAATAGTAATTTGTTAATAGTTTATAGTAATTATTTAACAGTAACACGATTATTTTGTTACAGATTTACTGACAGATGTAAAACATTCCCATAATACAGGGTGTACCAAAACAAGGTCCCCATGTGATCACGTGATCAGTTTTATAACTCAAGGACAGTTGGGAACGGTATTTGATATTTACAGGGGCTAAAAGGTATGACCTCCGGAATCTGTCAACAAAATGTGAGACCTCAAATTGATTGGAGTGGAGCGTGGCACTGTGGCAGCTTCATGAGTCTTTTTTACAAATTGTCTGATATCAGGATAATATCTCGATCATTTTTTATGCTATTGTTACGCAGCTACTGAATGAGTTAGAGCCTTGAAACCTTGGGAACACAATTAAATTTAAAGATTATTAAATGCTAAATATAATAGTGTTATTTAACCTACCACATTATGATATGTTTCCTCGGAACAGTGAGGTAGATCGTGTTCCGTCCGAGGACAGCAGCTCCGAGGAGGGTCTCCGTTATAGTCAGCCCGGCCGTTGTGTCCGCAACACTTGAATATCTGAGGAGATTATTTGGGGTTATTTGGATATTTGAGGAGATTATTTGGGGTTATTTGGATATCTGGGGAGATTATTTGGGGTTATTTGGATATCTGAGGAGATTATTTGGGGTTATTTGGATATCTGGGGAGATTATTTGGGGTTATTTGGATATCTGGGGAGATTATTTGGGGATGTCTGAGGAGATTACTTGGGGTTATTTGGATATCTGAGGAGATTATTTGGGGTTATTTGGATATCTGAGGAGATTATTTGGGGATGTCTGAGGAGATTACGGTACGAAATTCATGAAAGGAGAAAAGATGTAAATATTTCATTCAGCTGCATTGTATCATGAATATTGAATAAGGAATAGGGATTAATTTGTAATATTTGGTTTCACAAATAACTTAATAAAAACCCACCGTCTGAATGGAATCAATGGAATCTTTGATAACAGACTCATTTCCATTAGATTTAGTGTTATTGTATTCAGCAACTGCACTCTCGAGCCCCTCTTCTAGGTCGATAAATATCTGAATGTAATAAATGTCAAATTAGAGGTTTACCTACATCTTGGCAGGTCCTCAAATCACTAATTATCGTTAACATAATGGAAGGGTTGAGGAGGATGTACATTTGTAATTACCACATTAGCATCCATTAAATTAATCATTAGCTTATCAATTTTAACATTGTCGTCTCATATTTCATAAATTAGTCCCTGACATAATATATGAGGTCATTTACTGAATAATTCTAATTTGTCAGGCTAACTAAAAATGTACATTGACAGATTAGCGCGGAAAATTACCTTATCTCTGATGGTATAGGCCCATATACCACATCCAATTTGGCCAAAGACCAACAAAATGAGGAGCATGAAATACTGAGGGGAGGTTATGTTTTAGTACTCAAATAATTCCATACATGTAATGTAAGCTTCAAGAAAGCTATGTCACTAATTGAAGCGGCAAGCCCTACAACCTACAACATTTACCGTTGGAGAGCCATACGACAACAAAATCACAAACTCTTCAACGCAGTTAATTGACAGACTAACATCTGTACCGTGTACAGTAATACCAGAGAATGCCAGAAAGGAGAGAAACCCAACAACAAACCAGCATTAAAAAGTTATTAGATTGAAGCAGAGTTCCACAGCACCCTAAGAATGATATCACGAATATCACGGAGCCGACGATGATGAGTCCGTACATCCATGTTCCAAAGTTATCGTCAGAGATGTTGTCTAGAGACTTGTATTCTATCTTCAGGTAAACTCCTAGTACTAGTAATGTGCCGCCTAGTGCCTGGGGTTTTGGTGTATGGGGTTAGGTTTTAAGGGGTAGAATTTGCAGAGGTTCAAAGAATGTTTGTGCACGGTCGTGTAGTGTGAAAGAACGCAGTTTTATCAAGTAATGTATATTAGATCTGCTTTCTTTTGATCAACATAATTTCAACAAATTTCTAAAATGAGATTTAAGTGTATTAATTAAAAATGCTAAATGAACCCCATCAATTAACCCAGAATATGAAGTTGAAGATGAAGAGGACTGTTCTGATGACTTGTGAACAAAGATGTGAACAGCAAGTAGAGCTCCCTGATGATATTGATAGGTGATCTGATCGCTGTCTACTGTTCATACTCTGTCTACCGTCAGCCATTTCTTGCTTTAAATTTTAGTTGATGACTTAATTGATTTAATTGGTTCAATCGATTAATTGATAAGATGATTGAAATCAATGAAAAATACATTCGTTTCACTGGATTATGCAGTATAAAATTTCGAGTTTAGTTTAATCTTTTCTTCAATTTCAATTTTGCATTGGTTTATGTAATTTGCAGTGCAGACTTTAACACTTAATGCAACCACTACACAAAGAAATATCATAATCACGGAAGATATCAAAAGTATGTTAAAACAGCAGAATACTAAAATAAATAAATAATCACAATAGGTCGAACAAGCTACACCAAAATTAAAAAAACTTTCTCCTGAAAACAAATAGTTAAATCCCTACAATAATCTTTAAAATACAAATTAATATTATACCTAGCAAATCTATTGTAGCAGTTCAATATTCACGATTGACAGGCAGCGCAGTTTAAATAAGTTTATGGTTTACAAGCCATCTTACAAATAATTCCACGTCATGGCATATCAAAATTTTGTTGCGCATGTTCTCAGACCAGAAATGAGACAGTACTAGACTAAAAACGGCTGGCAAAAGGAACCAGTTGCCTGTAAGAGCTTTACTGGTACCCGAAATACCGCTTCTAAGGCACCACCCCAAGCCTGATATCAGCTGCAAGCACAAACGTATAAATTGTTTAAGGATTTTCACAACAAATCAGCTTGTACATACAGGGTGGGCCAAAAGTCAGTGTGCAAACGTTGTGTCTTATACCTCCGCCGTGTTTTATATTTGAGAGTTGTTGCTTTGCAGATGGCATACTGTACTTACTGGTTCGAGGATTCCGTCGTCAAAATTTGAAAATTCGAATATTTTAGACCACGCCCATTCAATATTAAAACACCTATATTGTTTCCTTTGAACATGCTGAACGCCTAATTTTTTTAGAGACGGTAGATTATCAAATGTTGCATATGATCTAAAAACATGAGGCAAAACAGATTAGAAATGACGAAGTTATCAAGCATTTTGTGTATCTCGTTAACAAAATTGACTGGGTGATTATGTGACACCGTGACACGACACCTTAATTGGGCACCCTTAACAATTCCCATATTGTTTAACGGGGTAGTTAACGGGGTCACCTTATCACGTGATTAGGTAAACCAATCACCTGATCACACGTAATGAATAAACTCGTTATGCTTCATATCTTGGTCATCTGAGAAGCTACAGTTCTAATTCTTTCAGGACAAACGTAATTCGAATGGCCAAACACAATTCAATAACATTTAGCTTGATCCGACTATCCAAACTATCAAATAAATGTGAAAATGAACCTCCATTTGAAAAAAATGAACGCGAATATTTTTCGAGTTGACAAATTCCAAGAACCAGTGGTGGTACTAAGTCATACCAGAAGGAAGTATTTCAATTGGGCACTCAGTGACTGAGCTATTAAGGCCAACGTTTGCACACTGACTTTTGGCCCACCCTGTACTATTGAATATTGAGAAATAGGTAGTTGCAAAGTTACCATGATAAAGGTGTTAAAAGTGCACTTGCACATGCAAGGATTTGAGAGGGGCATTTTGATCGTTTTTTTGTTGTTATTAGGTGGTTTTCAGTGCGAGCTATATTTCAATTGGCTGTAACTTCGGTTGTGATGGATATTTGTTGATGTTATAAAAACTGTCTACCAAAAAATACTATTAGCTTCCTCCCTGTGACCACGGGCTTTCAAGTAATATATAATATAATACAAGTTAAAAAGTTAAGTGTCTAGTATTTGTGTTTGTTATTATTAACTATTAAGTTCGATTGAAATATTTGCTTAAAACACTACTAAATGTTGTAAAAAACAAAATATTTACAAAACAAAACCACAGGGACACAGAAAGGAGAAGAACAGCACATCACACGGACAGAAACTGCTGCTGAGTTGACGAGTATCTCGCTTATTGTATTAATTATGGGTCTCTTGTTCATTACAATAAGTACGATCATACTTTAAGATTATATTGGGCTGACACAACTGCTGCAAGGTTAACATTGGGGTCCAAATCGGCAAAGCCGGGAGTGTGACACAAAAATTTCGCGTTATGTAAGATATACAAAATATAAATTATTGAAATGAAATAATAATTTAATTTAATGCGAAGCAAATTTTAACAATAATATTTGCACCAAGTTAAAAAATAATTCAAAACGGTTAATTTAAGATTATATGATTTATAGCATTAAAAAACACAACTTCTTCGCTCTAATTCAATGGAACAGCAGATTATGATAACTATGACAAGTTCACGTTTAAACTTTTCACTAATTAACTGAAGTAACTCATCAGACATGTAGCTTCTACCTTATTAATGATATTTTTCATCAGTCTGCAGTGTCAAAACCGCTGTCAATACCGGTAAAAACCGCTTTTTTATTGTGTAGAAGTTCAGCAATGAAATATATATATATACTAAGAAATCAAAACAAACCTTGATTTGTATCAGGTACCTTAGAAACTCTCCAGTAAATTGGGTGAGAATTGATCCCCCAAGATTTTAAATTTAAATTTACAAAGCCTGCCCCTACATACCCATAAGTATATCAAATGGTCCTTGTCCGTCCATTCTAAAGCATCAAACATAGGTTGCTAGGTTGAAAGTAGGTGCCACCTCTATATAATAGTCGCCTTGAAAGCACCAAAAGAATTTATTCTCTACTACTATACTGCATTTTACGAGCAGATTATGCTTGGCCTTTCTTGGTACAACAACATCCACAAGCTTCTCACCAAATACAACTTCCCCGCTCATCTTCCTTCAAATATAGGTTCTCCACCCGTATCAGTCACTACATGAGGAAAGAATTCGTGGATACCTGGATATCTGCTGCAAGGCTTCCTCACCAAAACCAGAATTCTATAATCATAATAAAATGAATAACATGATTTTATACTGTTATGTATACCATGCAGAAGCATATTTACGAATGATCAAAATCCGATCCCTGATATTCGAAAAAGGTTGACAAGATTTCTATTCGTATCAGCTGCCTCAACAACTTCTTATCGAACATATATACTCATGATACTCGTTTAAAAAATTGTTCCAGGACCTTCGACGAGTCCAACTTACTCAGCGCGCGTCCTGGTAGGTAGCTGTAGGTTATATAAATGATAAACCTACGATTAATAAAATAACCATCATTTTAGTTGTCTGCATTTGACATACGTTGCATGCCACTTTTATAACATGTATCAAGTTGGCATGCGCTGTATGACCCGCCGCGCACGAGTGTGCAGCTCCCCCTGTATAGTATAGTTGACGGATGTTACTTGCTCTAACCAGAGCCCTCTCGCTTGCAGTAGCGCGCGACCGCCTTACTGGGCCGCGCTCAGCCTGTCATTCCGCCTAATCTCTATGGTAATGAACATAATAGCCTGGGGTCCCCAGGTAAGCGACCGCCGTACGCGTATACACATGGCTATGTGAAGGATGTTACTCATCTAAATTTCTTCGTAAAAAACGCGCGCCGTTTTCTTCTCGATGGCACGTGCTTTACTTGGGGACCTCAGGCTATTATGTTCATTAACATAAACGCCGAATAGAGATTCGGCGGAATGACAGGCTGAGCGCGGCCCAGTAAGCACGTGCTACGAAGTAGCGCGCGCCGGGCCAGATCATTAACGATGGTCAACCTGTATCGTATTTACCTAACCATGTCCTTTCGCGCCACTGCGGGCGCGCTTGTTTCACAAGCCGTGAGGCGGGCGCGCGCTACTGCAAGTGCAAGGGCTCTGGATAGAGCAATGTATCGTAGAAACTCTACTATATATCATGTATATAGTGAAAGGCGCAGTTTATATCTCCGCCAAAAGCATCACATTTTAGCATTAATGCGCGTAGTTTTCTCAACTATTTTCACAGTCGCGCCTTCCTGAAGTTACATTAAACAGCCTCTTTTGCTTCCTAACATACCAGTTTACAGGAAGCAAAATATTATATATAAGTAAAGTGCAAGAAACCGAATTCGAACTTGGCACATTAATAGCATGGGAGACGATATTATACATGGGCGATATTTAGTAGAGAATAAACCAGTACCTATATAATAACGGTGTACCGGTACCGGTATACCTACGGGGGTGATATTAGTACAATTTTGTAAGAACACCTCCTCCCGTATTATTGAGAATAAATTTACTTTTCCATACAATTGTGCACTTCAGTCGTATAGTAAACCGGCAGTAAAGCATGAAATGCTTTTAATGATAAAAGATTCGTTTGTTACATATATGTAATTATAATCATGCTTTTTTTGAGTCGAGAAATACAAAATATGATGTTAACAAAACACAACTTTAAAGAACGATCAAAATTCTTACAAAGTTTTATTATAAAACTCTGTGACTGTTAAAAAGTATTAGGTAAATGATTCTTTTAATTCTGCCTTGATGGTCTGTAGCTTTTTCTCCTGTTTCCCTATTCCTAGTCCTTGCTATGACAGTATTAAAACTGTAATAATTGTCACGAGATGTTTGATCTAGTTGTTAGAGTTGAGCTATTCCTAGTCCTTGTTATGACAGTATTAAAACTGTAATAATTGTCACGAGCTGTTTGATCTAGTTATTAGAGTTGAGCTATTCCTAGTCCTTGTTATGACAGTATTAAAACTACAATAGTTGTCACGAGATGTTTGATCTAGTTGTTAGAGTTGAGCTATTCCTAGTCCTTGTTATGACAGTATTAAAACTGTAATAATTGTCACGAGATGTTTGATCTAATTATTAGAGTTGAGCTATTCCTAGTCACTGCTATGACAGTATTAAAACTACAATAGTTGTCACGAGATGTTTGATCTAGTTATTAGAGTTGAGCTATTCCTAATCCTTGATATGACAGTATTAAAACTGTAATAATTGTCACGAGATGTTTGATCTAGTTATTAGAGTTGAGCTATTCCTAGTCCTTGTTATGACAGTTTTAATACTGTCATAGCAGTGAAAATGTTAAACAATAAGCTGATTTAAGAGAAGAAAATATTAGTCA